GTTAGTTCATTTAGTCAGCCCGAAGTGTCAGCAAGATGGAGACTGCTGTCATTTCTCGAGGGGCTGTTGAATAGCTGTGTTGCAAGTGCCACTGGATAGACATTAACGTAACGATTCACTCACTGTGGTGTAAACTAGGCTTGTGAATTATTTGTTTGCAATATTGCGTCGTCAGTGGGCACACCTGTGTTCAGGTTAGTTCAGTATGCAGCCGCACAGCAATGGACCGGAGTCGTTGCTATTTAGCTGTTGTTATAGTGCCACTTGATGGACATTAACGTAACGTAAACTCGATGTTGTAGTAGTTTAGTCTCTTGTAAATAAATTATTTTGTTATAGAAAACGGTCTTTGATGTCAACCCTTCAACCATTCTTTTCCACCCATGTTCTGCTTTATACGATTGTTGCAATGTGATCTTTTTTTTAATGACGGCTGTTCTTGGGAAATTCGAATTCCAATTCATAGCACCACATCAAATACAAATATTTGATTGTGAGAACCCGTCGGTTACCCTTTATTGGTTTTAACGTCCTTTTTAACTAGGAGGAACCAGCGGCCTAAGTGGACAGGTTTTCACCCTTGTGGTGGAAGCCTGGCGGTTTGCTCCCGCTTTTCCTTTTTCTATTGGTCTCATGCTTAGAGTAGAAATATCTGCAGTGTGCAGTTCTTTATGCTTGAGGTCCACCTCCTAAGGGAGGTAGGCGTAGAAAAAAATCTCACACCCATCCCCTCGTCCTCCCCACCACCTCCAACTTCCCCATCCCCTTGTCCTTCTCACCATTACCCCCTCCCCTGTCCCCTCATCCTCCCCAACATTCCCCACTCCTGTCCCCTTGTCCACCCCACCATTCCCCACTCCCTCATCCGATGCATTCCCAAATGATCTGATGTTTCCATAAAAAAAATTGGGAACATCAAATGATCTGATGTTCCCATTACTGAAGTAAAAGAAAAACAATTAAAAATCGAAATGAAAAACAATAAAAAAAATAAAAAAATAAACTATACTCACAAAAAGAACAGTATAGAAAACAACAAAGCTCAAACCCAACACAATGTCACACAAAATAATAAAAATTAAAATAAATCGAAATCTATGAAAATGAAATTTATCAATAAAATCGGAAACATTGAATTGGAATTCATAACATGTTTAGTATAGCGGGTGTGTTGCTATTACGTGCAACAGATAGCACTTTTTTCGAAAAAAGACGTTTTTACCTGTCGCAGGTGTGGCATGTATATAGTAGGTATATAAAAACACGCGCCTACTCGAATGCAATGTCCTGTCAAAATTTCAAAGCAATCGGTGAAGAACTTTCGGAGATTAGCAATTTTGAACAAACAAACATTTTCATTTTTATTTATATAGATTAAATGAGTGGAGGTGAGAACTATAATGCAGTTCATCTCACCAAAACGTGCTTCGAAGTAACCAAATGATAAACTATATTCACTCCGACACCCAATCAAGCAACAGTAGAGGAAGTGACAGGTTTCCGTCTATCCTGAACCTTTATCAAGAAGAAACCAATAAACTAGAACTGTTTATACACGCCAGAATAAATGAATAAATTGACATACAATTACGATAAATATATGTATGTGTATATATATATATATATATATATATATATATATATATATATATATATATATATATATATATATATATATATATATATATATATATATATATATATATATATATATATGTAAGGAGAGAGAGTAATATATATGTAAGGAGAGAGAGTAATAAGGGAGAAACACCCACCCAGGGCTCCGCGTGAGGACGACATTGTACAAGTGGGGGCTACCGGAGCAGAACCTCTCTGGGTGGCTGAATCTGTGGTCCATAAAGCAGCCATGTCCTTCCCTACAGGATCAGCAGGTGGGTTCACAGGACTAAAACCCAACCACCTCAAGCAAATGCTCAACCCTGCACTGGGTGACATTGCAAAGAACCTCTTGGTGGAACTAACCAGATTCACCAACACATGTCTAGCTGGCAACATACCAGCGTCCATAAGACCTATCTTTTTTGGAGCATCTCTCTGTGCTCTAAAGAAAAAGGATGGAGGGATCAGGCCAATAGCTGTGGGCAATTCTCTCCGGCGTCTCGTCGCAAAGGCAGCTGCAAGAACAGTTAGTGATGCAGCGGCCAACATGCTGAAGCCAAAACAGCTCGGGTTTGGCATTCCACAAGGGTGTGAGGCGGCAGCCCATGCAGCTCGAGCCTTCATCGCCAACATCACAGACGAAAAGGCCCTTATCAAGCTAGATTTAAAAAATGCCTTCAATTTGGTGCGGAGGGATGCTGTACTCCGTACGGTTCATAGTCATTTCCCTTCCCTCTACCCTTTTGTACATTCATGCTACAGTATGGATCTTAAGCTACTTTTTGGCGAACATGCAATTGACTCGCGAGAAGGCGTCCAACAGGGTGACCCCCTTGCTTCTCTCATTTTCTGCTTAGTCATCAAACAAGTCACAGAGGTCCTGTCCAGCGAGCTTAACATCTGGTTCTTGGATGATGGTACCCTAGCTGGTTCCCAAGACTCCCTCCTGGAGGACATCAGAAAAATCCAGGAGCAAGGTGCAGTTTTAGGCCTCACCCTGAACCCTTCTAAATGTGAAATAATATGTTCCAACCAGGGCATCGTAGAGAGAATAGAGGGTCTTCTGCCAAATATCCATAAAACTAAACCTGAAGACAGCACACTCCTAGGAGCTCCCCTGGGGTTGAAAGCCATCAATGAGGTCCTTGATAAGAAAATCGCCGACCTTAAGAGGATGGATGGGAGGATTGGGGATATTGATGCTCATGATGCACTCTACCTCATCACCAGATGTCTGTCCCTCCCCAGGTTAACCTACTTTCTGAGGTGTTCACCATCTTACAGTAGCCAAAAACTAAGTGAGTATGACCGGTTACTGAAATCAATGCTAGAAAAAGTCCTTAGCCTCTCTCTCGATGACCTACAGTGGAAACAAGCCTCTCTTCCCGTAAGACTTGGGGGCCTCGGAGTTCGAACAGCAACGCAAATCGCTGTTCCAGCCTTCCTGTCCTCCTTATCAGCATCCGACGACCTTGTGAAGGAAATTCTACCTGCCCACTTACATCAGCTGGCAGGTGTACATGATCCCAATTTTACACGCTGTGCCACAGAGTGGGCCTCTCGTGCAGGCCAATCACCTCAACCACCATCCCCAAAAGCCCACAAGCAATCCAGCTGGGATGGCCCCATTGTAGACCAAGTTGCTGCAGAGTGCTTGGGTGCTGCAACAACACAACACGACATTGCTCGCCTCACAGCAGTAGCAGCACCACATGCAGGGGATTTCCTGTTAGCATCCCCAATGTCGGCAACTGGCACGCGTCTCACACCACACGCCCTCCGAATTGCTGTGGCCCTCCGCCTTGCTGCCCCAATCCACACCAGATATAGGTGTATTTGCGGCGAGATGGTGGCTGACAGGTATGGCCACCATGGCCTACTCTGCCAAAGCACAGGGGGATGGCACTCGAGGCACAGTGAAGTTAATGACATCATCAAGAGGAGCCTCACCACAGCTGGATGCCCAGCTGAAAGAGAGCCCCGTTACCTAACGCCCCGTAACTCTGATGCTCTTATTGGTCGCCCGGATGGAATCACAGTGAACCCATGGAAGAATGGCAAGCAGTTGGTATGGGACTACACGTGCGTATCAACCCTGGCTAACACCTACATTAACCTCAGTGTTGCACAACCAGGTGGCGCTGCCACCCACAGGGAAGCAGCCAAATCCCGTAAGTATAGAGAACTGGATCACCACTACAATTTTGTCCCCATTGCTTCTGAGACACTCGGCACCTGGGGTAAAAGTGCTACCAGTTTTTTGAAGGAACTGGGGTCTAGGCTCATTGAAACAACAAGGGACCCAAGAGCTGCAAGCTTTCTTTTCCAGCGCCTCAGTGTGTCGATACAGAGGGGAAATGCGCACTGCATCCAGGGTTCCTGCCCGCCATCTGAGGAGCTGAAGGAACTCGACAACCTATGATAACCATCTTTGTAACCTATATGTAACTCCTTTTTTGTCACAAAGTTCAAATAAAGTAAATATATATGTGTACATACAAAAGAATGGGGGTGGTAGGAGAAGATAATATTAGTGTTCAGTGAGAAACCACAAGGTCTCCTCTGAATACTTTTTATTTTCTTCTCCGAGGCTATGGGTCCCCACATTGGCACCAGAGGTGGTACCCTCACAAACTTTTTATATATGTATATATATATATATATATATATATATATATATATATATATATATATGTCGTACCTAGTAGCCAGAACGTCCTTCTCAGCCTACTATGCAAGGCCCAATTTGCCTAATAAGCCAAGTTTTCATGAATTAATTGTTTTTCGGCAACCTAACCTACCTAACCTAACCTAACCTAACTTTTTCGGCTACCTAACCTAACCTAACCTAACTTTTTCGGCTACCTAACCTAACCTAACCTAACCTATAGAGATAGGTTAGGTTAGGTTAGGTCGGGTTGGTTAGGTTCGGTCATATATCTACGTTAATTTTAACTCCAATAAAAAAAATTGACCTCATACATCATGAAATGGGTAGCTTTATCATTTCATAAGAAAAAAAATAGAGAAAATATATTAATTCAGGAAAACTTGGCTTATTAGGCAAATCGGGCCATGCGTAGTAGGCTGAGAAGTGCGTTCTGGCTACTAGGTACGACATATATATATATATATATATATATATATATATATATATATATATATATATATATATATATATATATATATATATATATATATATATATATATATATATATATATATATATATATATATATATATATATATATATATATACATATATATATACATACATATATATATATATATATATATATATATATATATATATATATATATATATATATATATATATTATAAATACATACACAAAAAACATATATAATAAAAATAATCACCTCAATGATGGTGGCGAAGATAAAGCCGTAGGAAAGCCAAACGAAGAGGTCAAGAGCAGTTGAGTAGGAGACCTTTGGCAGGTCCGTGCGAGCCTCCAGGCCCAGAAAGGTCATGGTCAGCACCGTGGTGATCCCTGCAATCAAAAGGCACACTCACTAGTATATTGCAGATATATATAAATATATATATACATATATATATATATATATATATATATATATATATATATATATATATATATATATATATATATATATATATATACACACATATATATATATATATATGTCGTACCTAGTAGCCAGAATGCACTTCTCAGCCTACTATGCAAGGCCCGATTTGCCTAATAAGCCAAGTTTTCATGAATTAATTGTTTTTCGACTACCTAACCTACCTAACCTAACCTAACCTAACTTTTTCTGCTACCTAACCTAACCTAACCTATAAAGATAGGTTAGGTTAGGTTAGGTAGGGTTGGTTAGGTTCGGTCACATATCTACGTTAATTTTAACTCCAATAAAAAAAAATTGACCTCATACATAATGAAATGGGTAGCTTTATCATTTCTTAAGAAAAAAATTAGAGAAAATATATTAATTCAGGAAAACTTGGCTTATTAGGCAAATCGGGCCTTGCATAGTAGGCTGAGAAGTGCGTTCTGGCTACTATGTACGACATATATATATATATATATATATGTTGTACCTAGTAGCCAGAACGTCGTACTCGGCCTACTATGCAAGGCCCGATTTGCTTAATAAGCCAAGTTTTCCTGAATTAATATATTTTCTCTAATTTTTTTCTTATGAAATGATAAAGCTACCCATTTCATTATGTAGGAGGTCATTTTTTTTTTATTGGACTTAAAATTAACGTAGATATGTGACCGAACCTAACCAACCCTACCTAACCTAACCTAACCTATCTTTATAGGTTAGGTTAGGTTAGGTTACTTAGCAGAAAAAGCTAGGTTAGGTTAGGTTAGGTAGGTTAGGTAGTCGAAAAACAGTTAATTCATGAAAACTTGGCTTATTAGGCAAATCGGGCCTTGCATAGTAGGCTGAGAAGTGCGTTCTGGCTACTAGGTACTACATATATATATATATATATATATATATATATATATGTATATATATATATATATATGCGAACAAGCCTGAATGGTCCCCAGGACAATATGCAACTGAAAACTCACACCCCAGAAGTGACTCGAACCCATACTCCCAGATGCCACGCAACTGGTATGTACAAGACGCCTTAATCCACTTGACCATCACGACCGGACATAATGAGGTGATAGCCGAGGCTATTTGAACCACCCCACCGCCGGCACTCGGATAGTAATCTTGGGCATAGCATTTTACCAAATCACCTCATTCTTTGGGGCACACGTGAGGAACACAAAAATATTGTTATATATATATATATATATATATATATATATATATATATATATATATATATATATATATATAGTGACTACCCAGACAGGTACAAGAGGAGTGTTGTTAACGCTTATGTCGACCGTGCTCTCAGCCACAGCTCAGGATGGAAGCAAGTCGACGAAGAACTCTGTAGGGTAAGGCAGGTCCTAGTCAACAACGGCTTCTCCAATGGTTTCGTTGAAGACATCATAAGAAGGAAAGTGAAACGCCATGCAACCTCTGAAGAGACAGCTAACACAACACCTATACCCCCTATTAGATTATTTTACAGGAACTTCTTTTCCATAGCTCATAAAACGGAGGAAAGGGTCCTGAAAGATATTGTTAATAGAAACGTTATCCCTACAGACAAAAATCATCAGATACAACTGACGATTTATTATAAAACCAAAAAAACGGCCAGCCTACTCATGAGAAACTCTCCAGACACAAAGCAGAACGCTTTAAAAGAGACCAACGTCGTCTATTCCTTCAAATGCCCTCTTGGGGACTGTAAGCCTCAAAAACAACTCAGTATATAGGCAAGACAACAACATCTCTTTCCAGGCGTTTAACGATGCATAAGCAACAGGGCTCTATTAAGGAACATATAATCTCTTCCACAACAGAAATTATCTAGAGATACAGCGATAGCAGGTGGCTTGACATCTGCGAGGCACTACACATCAAGAAGTCAACACCAGCAATCAACAGCCAATTAATGCACAACTATATTCTACCTACTTCAAGACTCCGCTCCAATATAGAAGCATCAAGAAATATGGGCCAATAGGCCCTTTGCAATTACTTCCATTCTTACCTTCAATACCCATTGTTTCGTGTTCTGTCTTGTGTTGAAAGTTTGTTTTCACCTCATCCAAATTTGTTGTAACATATAACCTCACCCAATTGCAGGTATAAAAAATCGAAGATGTTTTAGCTCTATTCAGTTATAGTTGTGTGTGTGTGTAAACTAAAGTCTTTGAAAATGTAATAAGTTTTACGAAACGCGCTCAAGTGTCGCGTCAGACTAGAAATAAAAATGAATTTTGGAGAATTGATTTTTCAATTACCATCAACAGTGAAAAGAAACATAAGAAAGATCGAGAAAATTCGTGTTAGAATTATTACTCCTACTTTTTCGGTCATATTTAATAATACATGTCTACAGGAAAGACTGCTACCAAAATATACTAATATATATATATATATATATATATATATATATATATATATATATATATATATATATATATATATATATATATATATATATATATATATATATATATATATATATACGTGTGTGTGTACTCACCTAGTTGTACTTGCGTGGATTGAGCTCTGGCTCTCTGGTCCGCCTCTCAACCGTCAATGAACTGATGTACAGATTCCTGAGCCTACTGGGCTCTATTATATCTACATTTGAAACTGTGTATGGTATTAGCCTCCACCACATCACTGCCTTATGCATTCCACTTCTTAACTACTCTGCCACTGAAAAAGTTCTTTATAACGTCCCTGTGGATCATTTGGGTACTCTGTCTCCACCTGTGTCTCCTTGTTCACGTACCGTGTTAAAAAGTTTATCCTTATCTACCCTGTCAATTAGCCTGAGAATTTTGTAGGTAGTGATTATGTCTCCTCTTACTCTTGTGTCTTCCAGTGTCGTGAGGTGCATTTCACGCAGCCTTTCCTCGTAGCTCATGCCTCTTAGTTCTGGAACTAGCCTAGTGGTATACCTCTGAACTTTTTCCAGCTTCGTCGTGTGCTTGACAAGGTACGGGATCCTTGCTGGGGCCGCATACTCCAAGAGTGAATGAGTGTGTGTGTGTGTGTGTGTGTGTGTGTGTGTGTGTGTGTGTGTGTGTGTGTGTGTGTGTGTACTTACCTAGTTGTGTGTGTGTGTGTGTGTGTGTGTGTGTGTGTACTTACCTAGTTGTGTGTGTGTGTGTGTGTGTGTGTGTGTACTTACCTAGTTGTGTGTGTGTGTGTGTACTTACCTAGTTGTGTGTGTGTGTGTGTGTGTGTGTGTGTGTGTGTGTGTGTGTGTGTGTGTGTGTGTGTGTGTGTGTGTGTGTGTGTGTGTTTGTGTGTGTGTATGTGTGTGTGTGTGTGTGTGTGTGCGTGTGTGTGTGTGTGTGAGTGTGTGTGTGTGTGCGTGTGTGTGTGTGCGTGTGTGTGTGTGTGTGTGTGTGTGTACTTATCTAGTTGTGTGTGTGTGTGTGTGTGTACTTACCTAGTTGTGTGTGTGTGTGTACTCACCTAGTTGTGTTTGCGGGGGTTGAGCTCTGGCTCTTTGGTCCCGCCTCTCAACCGTCAATCAACAGGTGTACAGATTCCTGAGCCTATTGGGCTCTATCATATCTACACTTGAAACTGTGTATGGAGTCAGCCTCCACCACATCTCTTCCTAATGCATTCCATTTGTCCACCACTCTGACACTAAAAAAGTTCTTTCTAATATCTCTGTGGCTCATTTGGGCACTCAGTTTCCACCTGTGTCCCCTTGTACGTGTTCCCCTTGTGTTAAATAGACTGTCTTTTTCAACCCTATCAATTCCCTTCAGAATCTTGAATGTGGTGATCATGTCCCCCTAACTCTTCTGTCTTCCAGCGAAGTGAGGTTTAATTCCCGTAGTCTCTCCTCGTAGCTCATACCTCTGAGCTCGGGTACTAGTCTGGTGGCAAACCTTTGAACCTTTTCCAGTTTAGTCTTATCCTTGACTAGATATGGACTCCATGCTGGGGCTGCATACTCCAGGATTGGCCTGACATATGTGGTATACAAAGTTCTGAATGATTCTTTACACAAGTTTCTGAATGCCGTTCGTATGTTGGCCAGCCTGGCATATGCCGCTGATGTTATCCGCTTGATATGTGCTGCAGGAGACAGGTCTGGCGTGATATCAACCCCCAAGTCTTTTTCCTTCTCTGACTCCTGAAGAATTTCCTCTCCCAGATGATACCTTGTATCTGGCCTCCTGCTCCCTACACCTATCTTCATTACATTACATTTGGTTGGGTTAAACTCTAACAACCATTTGTTCGACCATTCCTTCAGCTTGTCTAGGTCGTCTTCAAGCCTCAAACAGTCCTCTTCTGTTTTAATCCTTCTCATAATTTTTGCATCGTCTGCAAACATTGAGAGAAATGAATCGATACCCTCTGGGAGATCATTTACATATATCAGAAACAAGATAGGACCGAGTACAGAGCCCTGTGGGACTCCACTGGTGACTTCACGCCAATCGGAGGTCTCACCCCTCACCGTAACTCTCTGCTTCCTATTGCTTAGATACTCGCTTTGTATGTGTGTGTGTGTGTGTGTGTGTGTGTGTGTGTGTGTGTTTGTGTGTTTACTAGTTGTGTTTTTACGGGGGTTGAGCTTTGCTCTTTCGGCCCGCCTCTCAACTGTCAATCAACTGTTTACTAACTACTTTTTTTTTTTTTTTTTTTTTTTTTTTTTTCCACACCACACACACACACACACACCCCAGGAAGCAGCCCGTGACAGCTGACTAACTCCCAGGTACCTATTTACTGCTAGGTAACAGGGGCATTCAGGGTGAAAGAAACTTTGCCCATTTGTTTCTGCCTTGTGCGGGAATCGAACCCGCGCCACAGAATTACGAATCCTGCGCGCTATCCACCAGGCTACGAGGCCCCCGTATGTGTGTGTGTGTGCGTGTGTGTGTGTGTGTGTGTGTGTGTGTGTGTGTGTGTGTGTGTGTGTGTGTGTGTGTGTGTGTGTGTGTGTGTGTGTGTGTGCGCGTGCGTGTGTGTGTGCGTGTGTGTGTGTGTGTGTGTGTGTGTGTGTGTGTGTGTGTGTGTGTGTGTGTGTGTGTGTGTGTGTGTGTACTTAGCTAGTTGTACTTACCTAGTTGTGTGTGTGTGTGGGGTGTATATATATTCCACTTGGTGTGTGCTCACCTAAGGAGATGCGGTCCGAGGTGGCCTCCCGGTTGAGCCAGAAGGAGACCCAGGAGAGCACAACGAGCAACATGCACGGGCCGTAGACCTGGATGAGGAAGTTGCCCATGTGTCGCTGCAGGTAGAAGCTCGCCAGCAGCGTCGAGAACTCTCCGGCTGGAAGAAGAACAACCCGACGTGGTACTTACACTTGGGTTTGGCCCACGTTCGAATGCGTTTCACTTAGGTAAAACCACTTCACATTAGCGATATGAAATGCAATAGTGCATACTGGTTGCTTCAGCATAATGTATCACAAGATTAAAGCAAAAAATAAAGCCCAGTCAATGCCCATGATATCATTCCAGCATTTAGATAAAAAGTGAGGTAGAATTTATAAAAAATAATTGCCAAAAATATATAATTATCGGCATAAGCGGCTCAGTCTCCCATTTTTTTATAATAGTCTTTACAACTGGAAAACCTATTACGGCAATATAGCTCGTGTCTCTGTACTCACCAGAAGTAGAGACGCGAGTTCGATCCCACTCAGTTGTCATAAGTGAGTGACTGCATTACTGCAGGAAATACATTACTCTACCCAGTCTCATGCAAGTTGTCTCTTATTTTGTGTCCATGAATATATTCTGATATATATAATTATTTTCAGGTATATAGGTCCTATATATATATATAGGACTGATATAATTATGTCAATATGCAAATGAGAGAAAACATTAAAACATAAAATATGCAAATTTAGCCTATAATTTATACAAAAATTTAATTCCTTTATATGTATGAATTAATATAAATTGAGGACTTATGTAACTGATAAACATTTTTATAGTAGCTATTAATTTTGTAAAAGCTACTGGGAGTACTCGTACTCCCAGTAGCTCAACACGACATCCCGCGTGTAATTGTTTCTTCAACTACCAACTCTAACAGCTATGAAAACCTATCTCTCTAATTGTCATAGTGTATCACCTATCACCATAGTATTAAGTGTTATGAAAATCAGGTAGGTAAGTGAAGTGAGTCTACCAAGTGAGAGTTATTCTGCACACCTGACCAGATATTAGGAAGTCAGAGGAAGGAAGGAAGTTTATTAAGTAAACGTCAGTGAGTGACTTAAAAGAATACAAGGAGAGGATCAGCTTCTTATAAATGTTACATGTAATGAGATGTCGACATTTCGTGACGTGTCAGGATGCAGACAGGGCGTAACACGTCACTTGAGTTGCTATAGTCGTCAGGAATGAACGTACGTCATTGACTTCCTGGGAAGAAGGAAAAATATTGTTCCTTGTTTAGTGGTTGAGTGAAGGCTACTTGTTATCAAGTGTCAGGAAGCTGCAGGGACGTCGTACGTCATTTTTCAGTGATCGTGAAGATATCAGAGACGACCTGAAGCCTAATGGGTGGTCGTGTCTTGTGTGGACTCTAATGTGAGATATTCCTTCGAGTGGAGGAAAGTAAGCAGGTGTTTCTGTGTGAAGCCTGCCAGGCGACTTCGTGTGCTGAGGTCAGGACTGAAAGAAGCTTTGAGAGACAGTCCTAAAGAATTTTGTTGGACGACCAAGAGTAGCACCATGCTGGAACATCAGAAGGCAAGCGTCGTATGATCCTTCAATTTTGCAGTTTGTTTGGGAGAAGTTAGTGGAGGAGATTTGCGTCTGAGGAAGATTATGTAATGAACTTCAAGAGTAGAGCTGACCTTCAAGTGAGGAGCTGAACTTCAAATGTGTAGTTGAACTTCAGTGGTGGAGTAGAACTCCATTGGTAGGGTGGTACTTCGAGTGTAGGGAAGATACACATTTCTTATGTGAAACCACATAGAAAAATTTCACAGACATTTGAGTGGGACTTTAGGTGTAGCAGATATTGGAAGAACTGCAGGACTACCTACCTGATTTTCATGACCCAGACAGATGTTCTTAGTTGTGGGGCTCAGGACGTAGAACAGAGAATCGTATGGACACCTTGATATGTATGAGGGAGTGTTTGATTACATATTGGCATGAAAGACGCAGTGTAAGGTGAGAAATTTATTTAATTTTTGTTGGAGATATTTTTTATTAGCAAGGTATTCAACCCCAAGCAGTGAGGAGGCAGTAGGTTGTGGGCCGAAATTGAGCGACAGACTAGTACAGTTTATTTGATGAAGACACTCTGATATTGGAGTGTTACCGGATGGTAGCAGCATAGGGTGCTGTACTGTAATATTATCTATATATTTTTTTGAATCTGTTTTCTTGTAATAAATGCTGGTCTGCTGACAGCTGATTTTTGTTCTTGTTCTGGTGAGGCTTCCTAGATAGTGAGAGAGAGACACGGTTGCAAATTGGTTGACAGGGGTCAGTAACATCATAAAGGAGATTTATGAGATCATCCCAAAATAAGGAACGTGTGCGAAAGTCAGCGGCTCGAAAGGGTGTGTATTCATGACCAATAGGCCAGTTTGGAGCCGCACCCCAAATAAAGATGATGTTGAACCCCTCTCCGAGTGTACAGCGATTAAAGGGTGAACAGCCAACGTATTATATGCACTCTAGTGTCCATTGCTGATTGATTGACGACTGCAGCAGTGTGGCTGCTGTAGTCGGTCTTATTTTATCAAGAAGTGGTTGGGGTCTCTGTTCTCCAATAAGTAAAGTAACAGTTAAGTTCAGTATCCAGTTTATAAGACCCCCAACCCCCTGATATAATTCACTCACCATCTCCCATTATGGCAACCATCTACCCAATGGGCACAATACCCAAGTGTGGGTTGATTTGACGCTGATTCAACGTCAATAACAATGAATCATTGATCTAGAATGTTCTGGCCAGTGGGAGGAGACTCACCGGCGCGTCTGGTGGTGTTCTGGCCAGTGGGAGGAGACTCACCGGCGCGTCTGGTGGTGTTCTGGCCAGTGGGAGGAGACTCACCGGCGCGTCTGGTGGTGTTCTGGCCAGTGGGAGGAGACTCACCGGCGTGTCTGGTGGTGTGCTGGCCAGTGGGAGGAGACTCACCGGCGCGTCTAGTGGTGTTCTGGCCAGTGGGAGGAGACTCACCGGCGCGTCTGGTGGTGTTCTGGCCAGTGGGAGGAGACTCACCGGCACGTCTGGTGGTATTCTGGCCAGTGGGAGGAGACTCACCGGCGCGTCTGGTGGTGTTCTGGCCAGTGGGAGGAGACTCACCGGCGCGTCTGGTGGTGTTCTGGCCAGTGGGAGGAGACTCACCGGCGTGTCTGGTGGTGTTCTGGCCAGCTGGAGGAGACTAACCGGCGCGTCTGGTGGTGTTCTGGTCAGCGGGAGGAGACTCACCGGCACGTCTGGTGGTGTTCTGGCCAGTAGGAGGAGACTCACCAGCGCGTCTGGTGGTGTTCTGGCCAGTGGGAGGAGACTCACCAGCGCGTCTGGTGGTGTTCTGGCCAGTGGGAGGAGACTCACCGGCACGTCTGGTGGTGTTCTGGCCAGTGGCAGGAGACTCGCCGGCACGTCTGGTGGTGTTCTGGCCAGCTGGAGGAGACTCACCGGCGCGTCTGGTGGTGTTCTGGCCAGTGGGAGGAGACTCACCGGCACGTCTGGTGGTGTTCTGGCCAGTGGGAGGAGACTCACCGGCACGTCTGGTGGTGTTCTGGCCAGTGGGAGGAGACTCACCGGCGCGTCTGGTGGTGTTCTGGCCAGTGGGAGGAGACTCACCGGCGCGTCTGGTGGTGTTCTGGCCAGTAGGAGGAGACTCACCGGCGCGTCTGGTGGTGTTCTGGCCAGTAGGAGGAGACTCACCGGCGCGTCTGGTGGTGTTCTGGCCAGTAGGAGGAGACTCACCGGCGCGTCTGGTGGTGTTCTGGCCAGTGGGAGAAGACTCACCGGCGCGTCTGGTGGTGTTCTGGCCAGCTGGAGGAGACTCACCGGCGCGTCTGGTGGTGTTCTGGCCAGCTGGAGGAGACTCACCGGCGCGTCTGGTGGTGTTCTCGAAGCCAGAGGGCGTGGCGATCAGGTCGAACTGCGACAACATGAGGTCGGGAGCGATGACGATGCGTCGCTCCTCGTTCCAGCGGTACACCACGTCCCGTGTTGTGTAGGCGACTGAGCGCGGCGGCAGAGCAGAGGAGATATGCGGAGAAAAGAGGTAAAAATGTGGATGGAAGTAGGAGGTAGATGGAGGAGAGATAACAGGAAGAG